ATGGATTGTCTTTACTCAGTGATGTCGGAGATCTCAGTTACAAAACTCAAAGTCTGGAAGCTGAACTCATGTCTGGTAGTTGATGCTGGTTGAGGACTAGTAGCCTCAGTTTTCTTTTATTTTCTCTTGTCATGGGACAGTTTGGTCTTTCCCACAACATGATGGTGATTTCTTCATAGAAATTATTCCAAAAGGAGAGAAAAGAGTGAATGAAGCAGAAGAATTTTGTGGTCTGTTAGGGACTAGAAACCTGTATGATGGTGTGAGTTCCTTTTCCAAGGAACACCCTGGCTGTGCCCACTTCAGGGCTCTGTTATGAGAATAAAAATGTTTAAAAATCATGACATTATTAGATAAAAGAGCTTATATATATACGTGTCACATAAGTGTTTGCTAAATAAATTAAACATAAAAACAAATTAGGTTCAGCCTTGGATAGTTAGGCACATGAGAAATGTGCTTAAGAAGGCAAATGGTTTTAGATTATTGCTGAGATAATGGTAGATTCTGGGGTGCATAGAGCAATGAAAATAAAATAGAAAGACCAATAATGAGAATATAGTAAAGAGTGAGACTGGAAAGTAATAAAATAGTATTGAGAGACCATAGAGTTCTTGATGAGACTAAAGAACAATAGTAGAAACAATTTGAAGAATTTGAAGTCTGTATTTATAAAATGAGACTAAAATAGGACAGCAGAGGAGAAGTTATAAGTGTGTGGATGTGGATTCTTGAAGTTAAGAGTAGGTAAAAAGTCTCAAAGCTGATCAAGAAATTGAGAGTCCAGAGGATTAGACGAACCATCTGTAGTAATGGCAGCTTGGACTGGAGAGGAAGGTAATGGGCCATGTGCCAACGTTGTCAATAAATGAGGGGAGAGAACTAAGATGTTGATAGACATGTGCATTGGCTAAAAATAAAAGACGGTATAGCTAGATGCTGTTAACCTCTGTTTTCATGTTATTATTTCCGTTGCATCCAATTTTATGTATATGGTTTTAATGATCATCAATATGCAGATAACTCCCAAATTTACATCACATCCTTGAATTTTAGTTGTGCATACCTAACTGCTCACGAGACCACTCTCTAGATATATATCACAAATTTCAGCATGCCAATTATTGAATGATTTTATACTTTTAACTTTTGTAGTCTCTCTTATTCTCTATTCCAGCTGATGTATTAGCAACCACTCAACATATATGTTCAAAACTTTGAAAACAGTTAGATTTTTCCTTTTTCTTTCTTTAGCTTATATTCAACCATAGTCAAGGCCTGCAAAATTTATCTCCTACATATTTCCAGGGGTATAAATCTTTTCTCACCTAAGAGGGATAAGGTCTAGATCAGGGGTAGGCAACCCCTGACACACGTGCCAAACATGACACGCCAGTAACTTTTGCTGGCACGCAAAACCCTCCCTTAAAATCTTCCATTTACAATTGTGAATATTTGTTCTCAGTGATGCATTTTTTAAGTCTCTTTAATAGGAGTAGCCTGACGGATGAAAGTAGTAGCTCATGCATATCTCTGAAGGTCATGAAATATAAACTTGATGTAAAATCTCTGTCATCAGTGATGGAGCAGCAAAAGTCCCACTGATAATATCAAATAGAGTCATAAAGTTTTCTGTCGGACTATCAGTGTACATGTATGCATTAAAATATAAATGTATTTTTCATCAGCATATACTGTGTTTTTGTCGCTTGAATGAATTTTATTATTTCTTCAAGGTTCTTCACATACATACACCTCAAGAGATAGCAAGTAGGCGTAACATGTTCTAAAAAAATTAGGGTTGGCACGCAGAAGAATTTTGAATCAGAGATTTTGCTGATTTTGGCACGCACTCACAAAAAGGTCGCCCACCCCTGGCCTAGATTGTTTCCTAGATGAGGCCAGTTGCATTTCTCATTGGAACTGTAGGAACCTCCTATTTTGTTCACTGAAAATATATGCTCCGCATACTTGCACATATATCCAAGTTACTACTGTCATGGAGAGGACTTTCTACATAATTCCCATTCTTCAAATATTTTCTTGGCTTCCCAATTATTACCTTTTAAAAGTATGAGTTATTCAGAGCATGAACAATGTTCTACCATGTGGCTGTTGTTCAGTGCTCAGTTCTACTCTCTTATCACTTATATAGCATATTTAATTGTCCAGTTACTCCAAATTGTTTTGTCTCTTGAACACAAGACAACACTCTGTAATGTCTCCCTGCTTTGCTTCTGTTTCTTCCAATTCCTGAAATGTCTTCATTACCTGCTTAATCTCTATCCCCACCTGATTTCATGTGGCAAATTCTTATGCATCCTCTAATTAGTGCTTTGGCCCTGGTTGGGTGGCTCAATTTGTTGGAATGTCATATCATACACCAAATGTTGCGGATTCAATCCCCAGATGGGCTAGTACAGGAGGCAACTGATCTTTCTCACTCTCTATCTCTCAAAATCAATTTAAAAAACCATATAATTCTGCTTGGAAGTCTTTCCTAGGATTATGGATCATCTACGTTCCCTAAGATATATTTATATTATTATGAACAATAGTATGAATGCCTTTTTTTTTTTCAATTTTCATCACCTGAGTCCTTTGAACACAAGGCAGTGTCCTTTTTAGTCCTTTTTATCTTTATGGTTCTTTT